ATGATGTACATGTTGGGAAAAAAAAACCTATGTATCAATAACAAAGTCAATTATTATTGAATCATTGAGGGATCATTCTAGGGTTTATATGTATTTGATCTAAAATATTTATTTGAAATAAAATTTTTCTTTCAATAACCAATTAAGATTGTTAATAATTGAGTTTGAACAAAATGATCTATTTGAAAGGAAAAAAAAAAGCACTCAAGGACCAAATTGAATATCATAAAATGAAACCTCATTGAGTTTTAGCCTATGTTATAATTACTCAACAAAAACTTGATTACGTGCTAAAAAATATCCTGATTGCGATTAATTAATTTTAACTTGGTGATGATCGATCCATAGAATATCAAATTGTGAGTTATACCACTAGGATCGGAGTGATGATCTTCAGATATTTAATAAATGATTAGGTTGTTTCTTATTAAACGAGTAATGATTCTATTATTATAAAGGGAGGTTGGATAGTTTATTATATCTAACAAATAAGTTAGGTTAGGTTTTTTTTTTTTTTAAAGATGGGAAGATTTTCTAATGTTCAAGTTAGTTTATGATAAGATGAGAGGTCGGAATAGACCATGATATTTGTGCATGCTCTATAAAGATTGATAAGTAGTATAATAATTAATTAGAAAAAAAAACACAATTTTTAAATTTTAGGTTACTAAGCACTTATAAAATAAAGAGTATGATCAAATTGTACGAAAAGTAAATTGGAAAGATCTTCTTTCTCGTATACAACAATATTTGACATTCATTTAAAATTTAAAATATCAGTTTTAGATATTGATATATTACCATTAGACAATTGAGGTGCTTTTGTTATCATATTTGATGCGACTGAAGCATTTTAGAGACTCTTTCCTCGTTAAATAAAAATGTTCTATGCTCTTTTAGTAGATGACGGTTGCTGTATGTATGGTCTTTAACTTGTGTCGAGTAGAATTTCCAAATAGTTTTAAAAGGGCTTCCAATCCAAGTGGTATTTTCGAACAGTTTTAGAAGAAATTCTGATCCCAAACCAGATAGAATCATTAATGTGAAACCTTATATATCATTCTTTAATACACCATTATTTTTTCGGACATGTCAAGCAGCATGAAAATTAAACATTAATTTGACACCATCACTATATATCATTTTTTAAAACGACCATTGCTTTTTTCGGATATGTCAAGAAGCATGCAAATCAAATATTAATTTGTTTTTTCGGAGCAGCATGAAAATCAAACATTATATATATATATATATATATATATATATATATAAAGCTAGAGTTGCTTGATTCGATTTTCACCAGAGACTGAAAAGGTGTCCCCAGCCAATTGATTGGTCGTTTGGAATGAGACTTCCGTTTGCCTGTCGAGATGGCCGGTTAGATAGCTGGGATTTGCAATGAAATTTTAGCTGTTTAAAGCTGAGTTTGGAGTATTGTTTGTGTTGTTCATGCAAAAGCACAGTAAAACTTTTATAATGGAGTTTGGTGTGGCCCATAGACACGTGCAAATGATGACATTGTCTTCCCTAATGATGGATTCCCACCGCTTCTTCCACTGTGTGGGTTCCACTTTCTATCATGCAACCCGATTTCACATCCCCTTGCCCTCTTTATCTTTGACCACCAAATTAAATCAAATATCGCAACAAATCATATCTGCATTCTTCCGTGAAAATGCTCTAATGGGGGATATGAGCCTCCAATTAAATTCGAACAAGTGTACGAGTAATAGGTATTTGTTTTTCTAACAACAACAACCTAGCTATATCTAACTAGACTATGATTTTATGAGGTGAATTTATTATGCTGTCGTACGTGATTGAAGGGTTGAGGTGCTGGAGTAATCGGTTACGGGATCTAGCTAGTACGTGAGGCCAAAAACATGGACTCAAGCTCGTAGGGCAATTCTATGTCAACATTTGATATCATTACCCCACGTATTGTCGTCAAGCTAGAATGACACCTGGCCAATAGAATTTAACCTCAAACAGATCTTTTTTGGAAGTGATCTTCCTTTTTTAGAGTACTAGCTATGATGATTTTTCACCTTGCAACTTTTTGCTTGACAATGCTACTTCGAAGAAGTAATTCCCAAAAGAAGCACCCATGAGGCATTCATGGTTTAAACTTTTAACCTTTACATTACGGTCTCTTTTAAATAACAGCTAACATATGTAGACGTTGTGGATGCTAATAAAAGAGATTAATTTGTAGGACGCTAACTAGTTTAACTTGGAAGAAAGTATAGTGCTCTAATGATTTGAACTAAAAATCGAAAAGATAATTAAAATCTTTTTCTTTTCACACGCTTGAAAGTTGGGAGGACCGAGAGAAGTGAAGCATTATTTCCTGTTTAAGGAAAAACTCGATGGATTTAATTTGTAGCTCAAGAAGAAAACAAAGACGAAGTGGCTTTGACCGATAGCCAAATTGAGTGTTCTAGTTTTGATGAGTTTTGAATTATATACAATGAGATAACCCAGCTCTCTCTCTCTCTTATTTTATTCGAATTTACTATCCTCTCTCCACCTCGTCCTTTTTCTGGATTTAAACTCAGAGATTTTTTATTCAAAAGTTTAAATTTTAAATATTGAATTGATCACTTCAGAATAAAATTTGAAGAGCATTGCTATCGATTACTTAATCGATGAAGTTGTTTTGGTTGAGAAATCTAAAAATGAAATTTCAGTCACAACTGAATCCTCAGTTTATAAACCTTAATGGAGTGATAAAACTTCCTTTAACCCGAGGGTTTGTACTCTTCGTTTTCAATATGATGCATATGATATGGAGTACACAAGCTGTTGATGATAGGGAAAAAAACAAATCCAAGCTGTTGGCTCATGAAATTGTACAACGAAAGCAAGAGGAATCCAAGAATGACCGATGAAGCCAAGGGTCTGCGTTGCCGCCTGCGTGTAAACCCATCAAGAGTTTAGAATGAGCTGTTCAACAACCCGAATCTAAAGATGAAGCCAAAAAATTTGTCAAATCTTGTTGTACTACATTGCAAATCCGCGGTCGGGAGAGAGGGAGAAAGGGTCACATCAGCCCGGCAGCCAAATCTTTATATTTGAATCCTTGTTTACCGGAAAAAATATATGAAATATAGTGAATTTTATCCACAAGGAAAAATTTTATGGCAACTATTGGCAGTTAGATGCTAATAAATTTTATAATACACATAAAATAATTAATGATATATATAATAATTATTTTATTAATTCGAGACAAGAAATAAATATATTGAATTATATATAAATTTATAAAAAATAATAAAAAAATTTCACATTCATTCAATTTTTTTAATTTTTTCTCTCATATTTTTTTATGTTTATTTATTTTCTCAAAATAAATCTATAAAATAATTATTCTACGTGTTATCACTTATTTTACTTCTTATATATTATAAAATTTCTCGTTAGATGCACGAAAGTTACACTAGAGTCATAGCCTCAAGAATTTTTGGTATATGGATCACATGGATTGAGAATGTTTTCACTGCCATTATGTGGAAAATGACTTTTAGTGCCCTCATTCTATGCGTATTAATGTGAAGGATAGTCTCCTTTTGTGTAACTGCCTCTAGAAAAGAGGTGGTTTTTTGACAGAAAAAAACATGTCCTTCGAGTTGCATATTCCACATTGATATCCCCACAAAATCAGTGCAAATTAATAAGGGATGACTCACCACAAAACTAAGTCAAGAGATGGAGGTCTTCCCACACCATTACTGCGAACAAATTTAGTGCATATACGACATATTTGATGTCAATATTTTTTTGCAACTGCTTCTGGAACCTTGTCCATTAGAGGAAAAAACATGCTCCGCTCCGTCGAGGATCCTATAAGTAGTCAATAAACTCTGGTCTGTCCACACTGGCCCCCCTAATTCAGAAACCATCAGAGAAATTACAGCCATGAAATGCAATCATATAAGTAGATAAATTTTACCATCTGGCAAATGTTTGCGATAATGATTCATGAGAATGATAATCCTGATTAATCAAGCACATTTGCACTTTATGTCTCATACTTCATTTACCCGGCCAACCACACGTGGTACGCGGGATCACTTATTGGCAGTCCAAATGCATGATGCCCGTGATTGCAGTCGTGAGTCAGTGGAGATCCTTCTGCAATGCTCTACTTTCGCTCAGCAACTAATCATAATGCACATCACCAGAATTATCATCCGCCCATATTTTATAATACGTACTTATCATCAACTAATCAGTGGTTTACTAGATATACATACATATATAATCAGTGTAACAAGACATAAGATACTGCCATAAAATAAATAAATAAATAAATAAATAAGGAATAAAAGGTGGGGTTTGGTGGTTTCTATAGTTTATACTATGTGGGAAATTGGAGCTACAGTTCCCAAAGAAGAGGAATTGGATTTGGATATGGCATGCACTACTCAAATAGATAAACTGTGGTTATTTTTGTTTCGTTTTTTCAACATTCTCTGGCACTTAGAGACGTCGACGGCATTCACTCGCTTCTCTCAGTCACCAATATTTATCCGTATCTTGAAAAGCAAACAAGTTCCATTTTCAAGTTTTGGGATTGGAGGAATCTTTTTCATTCTCTCCCTCCTTCTCTCTCTATCTCTCTTTACTTTATACTATGATGAAAAAGCTTGAGAGAGAAGCAAAAAGGCCACCGAAAAGCATGGACACCTTATCATGAAAGCAAGAAAAAAACGACCCGATTAGACGGGCCAACCCACACGCATATACACACAGTTACTCACTCACTCACTAACACACCCACACGCTCGATCGATCACAGGTTGTCTCTCTCTCTCTCTCTCTCTCTCTCTCTCACTGTGTGTTAATTTGTGTGTGTGTTCTTTCTAAAAAAATGGAAATCATAAGTCAACCTCCCCTCATGATTTGGTCTTGGTTTCTTCTAAGCACCACCTCATAAACCACTTTCTTTAGCATCCTCTATATAATTAGCACTCCCCATCATTCAGTCCTTCACCATGGGAAGCATGAAGGTGCATCAGTTGGCACGTGGATTTTGGGAGCACGAACCCTCTCTCACCCTTGGTTGCAAGCGTTTACGCCCTCTTGCACCCAAACTGGCCAACACAGATCATAGCGTTACCTCTTTCGATCTCAAGAGCTTCATTAGACCTGATAGCGGTCCTAGAAAGCTTGCCTCCTCTGACGAGAAGAAAGATTCCCCTCAGGTACTGATCATTCTTATCTAGCAAGTTCAATACTATTACTTTTTTTAAATTACGACTGCTTGGATTCTGTGCTGCGTTAATTACTCCAAACATCGAATTAATTAAATCATGCTACATACTGTAACATATGGATAGATAGCAACACATGAATTGTTCAAAGAACAACGTTTGAAAAAAAAAATTGAGAAACATAACTAGCTAGCAAAGCATCTTAAAGTGTGGTGGCTTTTTACTTAAATATTTAAAATTTTGATGCATATAGGGGGAAACGCACCCGGGTGGGACACGGTGGAACCCAACGCAAGAGCAGATAGGGATACTAGAGATGTTGTATAGGGGAGGAATGAGAACTCCTAACGGGCAACAAATAGAAGATATCACTGCACAATTAAGCAGATACGGCAAGATTGAAGGGAAGAATGTTTTTTATTGGTTCCAAAACCATAAAGCCCGTGAGAGGCAAAAACAGAAGAGAAACAGCCTTGGTTTAAGCCATAGTCCGAGAACCCCAGCTCCCATTACCATTATATCTTTGGATTCTAGGGTATGTCTCAGCAGCCATTAAGACTCAATTAATTCGTAATTTATTATCTTTGATAAACGAAGCTACGTTTTGGTTAGTTTATATTTACTCCTATTGTTGTACAGGGAGAAGTGGAGAGAGAAGAGGATAGTCCATACAAAAGGAAGTGTAGAAGCTGGACATTTGAGTGCTTGGAATTAGAAGAAAGCAGGTCTTGTAGAGAGGAGGGAGATAGAACTCTGGAGCTTTTCCCATTGCACCCGGAAGGCAGATGAAGGGGTTTGAAAAAAATAAATCTCATTCAACTTTGTTAATTTCATTGTGATAATCTGCTTTGACGTGCTTTTCTTTCATTAGTTTCTTTCTTTGTTTCGAGAAAGAAGAAAGGCAAGTAGTTGTCTCTTTGTACCTTATTTTCTGACTTGGAACCAAAGCTCTTTGTCACTCTTTATTCGATCTCTCTTGTGGGTGTGTGTGATCGTTTTGACTAGGGAAAAACTTGTTGGGAGAAACCTTTTAGGTTAAAAGGAGTAACCTATGTACACTGAAGTCCACGCACCTAGTTCCAATCTTAAGCCTACTCCTTCATATTTTAAGTTTCAAATGGGAAAAGAGATGTGTCTTCTTCCACCGATACCTAGAAAAAATGATATATGGCACTACTTAGAAGACTTTCATAAAGTAGCGTATCAACTATCAGGGGACATGAAAGTTTCATCTTTATTTTGTTGAGAGTGATTGACATGCATTTTCCCAAGAAAAAATAGTATTTGTTAGTGTGATGTGGGGGCTCCTCATCAACCATGCCGGGGATATTATTGATTCAAAAAAAGGAAAGAAAAACTATGGCGAGGATATTTGGAGGGAAAGATGATCACAACTGTATTTGAAATGAGAATGAGGGAGACTAGTTTGTTCCTTTTTAATAAAAGTGGTTCTAAGGCGACCTCCGATAGTTAAAACTTGTTTTTTTATTAGTAGGTCTTAGTTTCAATTTCGGAAAGATATGGAATAGGAATTTGGAACTTCTGAAGAAAACCCTTTATTACATAGCGTTTTGCGTTATTCATTTGGAAAACTACTACTAAATATATTATAAGATGACAGACCACTACGAAAAAAAAAAAAAAAAAAAACTCTCAATTTGTGATAGAAAATTCGGTGAGAAAAGGGCCTAAATTTGTCAGTCTGTGTTTTAGATATCTTAGTGATAGAAAAAAATCTGTCAAAAAAAAAAAGCAGATAATGTCGTGCTTGATCATAAAACAGTCACAAAAAGCATTTTTGTAACTGATTTATTCGTTTTTTTTTTTTTTTTTTTTTTTTTTTGTAAAATATGCGTTCGGTCATAAAACGTTGTGTGCTTTTTTTCAATAATTTACGAGATTTTTTTTAATTATTTTTCATGTTTGATTTTTTTGTGGCAATTTTTTTTATCCCACTAAATTGCAAATCAAAATTAATCTAATTACTCACAAATTTTTTAACTAGAAAATAAATACTAGATAATTCCCAAAATATAATTCCATATCAACAAAAAAAAAACATCCATAATGTCAAAAAAACTAATTATAAAAAAAATACATAATTCCCAAAATTTATCAAAAAAGAAAAGAAAAAAATTTTTCCACCAATTCATTTTCAATTATAAACTGCAATAACAACAAAATTTTCACAACAACAAACATATCAAAAACCCAAAACAATTTGGCAACAATTAATTAAATAGTGGGGTTTTATGAGGAGTTTACCTTCCGAGCAAAGGAGGACAGCTTGCCGACGAGGAAAATGGTTGAAAACGAGACGAAAACAACGATCGTGATGGAACTGGCTTGAGTGGCAGTAGGTAAAGGGCTAATTTACGGCTGCGTTGGACGACGAGAGGAGGCGGCGACGACTGTTCTTCAAGACTAGGCTTCTTTAGGCTTTGTGTGCGAGTGAGTTTCTGAGAGAGAGAGAGAGAGAGATCAGACAGACATTGGACGGGCAAATACATATGCTAATTAAATCTATAATTTCTGACAGCAAATTCGATCAGACATTTCTGTCACAAATAATTTTTCTCACAGCAACATTGGTCGCAATGCGTTTTTTGAAAAAAAGGTCGCACGAGATCTTTATTTCTGACTGAATTAAAGTTTGGCCATAGAGCAATCGGAAATTTCTGATATAAAATTTCGATCACGCAAATTTATCAAAATTTCCCTCCATTTTTCTTGTGAGACAACTAAAAAAGTTGGATTATTATGCTCTACAAAATGTTAATGACATTTCTAAAACTTATCTCAAAAATCCATAAAATCAACTGCTAAGGTCCAATTTTCAAACAAAATCTATTTGAATGGGTACTCTACTAGAGAAATTTTATAATACTAACTAACAATACTTACTCGTATGAGAAAGGAGAGAGAAATTTAAAAACAAAACTTACATAAAAATATCTTTATCGTTTTTATGTATGTAAATATGTTTTTCTTTCCTTTGTTTTTTTCTGTTAATCTTTCTCATTAGAGGAAAGCATGTACTCTAAGAGAACTTAATCTGTGGGTCTTCACCTTTGATGAAGCTCACCACCAAAATCAAAGTGCAAGTTGATATTAGTTCACTCAGAGCATTACTCTCTTTTTTACAGTATGAAATATCATAATTATTTAGTTAATCGATTTAAATCACTAATTGTAGGAAGCGAAGTTAGTTTTGTTAATTTTTCATTGATTTGAGTTCGGTTATTTAAATTAAATGAGATGGTAAAATACGTAATTAAATTGTTGACGATTCTTAATAGGTGCTAAAATCATGCATATTCAATCATTTGCATTCACCAAAAAAAAGTTCATTTAGCAACATTTTAGACCGTCGCTAAATGAAAAAACACCATCGCTAAAATTTAGCAACGGTTTAAGGATTTCATTGTTGATTTACAAACGGTTTATCTATCTCTAATCCGTTGCTAAAAAAAAAGGTCACCAAAATAGTCGAACGATCGCTAATTTAAGGTTGTATTTAGCGATAGTTTATCTAAACCGTAACTAAATCATCTAAACCATCACTAAATTTAGCTTGGATTTAGCTACGATTTTAAAAAACCATCATGAAATCAAAACATTTTCTTTTACGATATTTTCGGTTAATTATTCCGTTGTTCACATGTCGTTAATAAGTGATATGTCTCGTTTTCTTTTTTGCATGTCCATTCCAATCCAACAATTACAATAACAATTTGAAATAGAATTATAGAAAATATGAATCCTTTATAATGTATCAAATCCAATCTAATTCAATATATATTCAAACACCAAATTATATTAAGTGTATTAATATTTCGCAAATAAAAAATAATAACAATAAAAAAGATAGTGTGATGAAGAGGATACATGTCACACATCAATATTTTCATCCAACGAATGATGGTCGGTCAAAAGATTGATGGGGAAATTACCTTTTTGCATATTCGGTAATATCCGCTGATTTAAAGACAGTTTATCTATCGCTAATTCGTTGCTAAAAAAAAAAGTCACCAAAATAGTTGAACGATCACTAATTTAAGGTTGTATTTAGCGATAATTTATCTAAACCATAGCTAAATCATCTAAACCGTCACTAAATTTAGCTTGGATTTAGCTACAATTTTAAAAAACCATCATTAAATCAAAAAAAAAATTACGATATTTTCGATTAATTATTCCGTCATTCACATGTTGTTAATAAGTGATATGTCTCGTTTTCTTTTTTGCATATCCATTCCAATCCAACAATTACAATAACGAGTTTGAAATAAAATTATATAAAATATGAATCTTTTACAATGTATCAAATTCAATCCAATTCAATATATATTCAAACACCAAATTATATTAAGTGTATTAATATTTATGCGGATAAAAAATAATAACGATAAAAAAGATAACGTGAATAAGAGGATACATCTCACATATCGGTATTTTCATCCAACGAATGATGGTTAATCTAAAGATTGGTGAGGAAATTACCTTTTTACATATTCGGTAATATCCGTCGTATCATCATATGTTGCTCCCGATTATACTACTCTAATCGATTTGTAATAGCTAAGAGCGATGTAACAATATCCTCTAGTTTTTGAATCCCCTCTTCATGTCTAATATTGTTGGTCACCATTTCCTTCGATGTTGCTCAATATCGATATGGAATTATGATTGTGATCAAATTAAAGGATGAACCGATATTAGAGTAATAACAAGAGGCTCGTGACTCAAGTTCGTATATTTTCTTTCTCTTACTCGTCTCCTTCTCCAATAACCCTCTTAAATATCTCATTCGTGGTGATGTTCGGTGTTAAAGTACCCTTAATTTCCTAGTTAGCAACCTCCTCCTCATATATTTATCGATGGTGTTTTACATAATTGTATAAATTTTAATATTCAATAGCAATCTCAACAAGTTATATAAAAGTAGCATACATACGAAATAAATTTATAAATTATTAATCTCGATATTTTTTGCTCGCCGATCGATAAATATATACTTATCATCAAGCTTTTTTTCGTGAGTCTTCAACAATACCTCGTGAGTATCGAATTCACGACCTAACTCCTTACCCTAAAACAAATATATTTAAATGTATATTAATTTTGCAATAATTATAAATAAAAAATTATATACGTGTGTGTGTGTGTATGTATGTGTGCGTACATGTGCGCGCTCTCGATATGTAATCAAACCCCCCATATGTCTAGATAAACTAGCTTTAGGGTCACCCATCTCACTTATGTAGTTTTGGACCGCCCGCTCGAGTGGACTTGAGACTCGGGTTTTACTCATTCATTCCGGCATGCATTCCATATCTCTTATAAAATATATGTTGGTTTAGGATGTGTCTTCACATGATAAAAAAGTCGAATATCGCTTTAATGCTAGAATTTGTCATTCCCCTCTAAAGCTTTGATCAAACTTTTGATCCCATAAAAAATACCTTTGCAAGAACGTAAAAAATGCTTATTAGTACATTTAAATGAACATTAAGCAACTTAATTGAAATGTACTCGTCACATAATTAATTTAGCTACATATTACATTAATCTCCTCCCAATAGAAGTTTTCAATTTACTCTATAATTGACTTATACGTCGTTCTAGATAGGTCGACCTACTCTTAGAATATCTTAGAGATCCGATGAGAGCACACATCAAATGGATACAATTTGTCAAATAAGCAATTAATGGTTAAATAAATGCATTAATATAATAATACATCATAAATAATACAATAAAAAAATATGCTTACTACATACTCTTTA